GTTTGCTTCTGCCAGGACACACTCTGTTGCTGTTGGACTTGGTCCATGCAAGTGCTATACTGCTGACTTCTCTGGAGGTCACTAGGAGTACACCAAGAGCGGAGGTTGCAGCTCTCTTGGGATCGCTGCTTTGCTATCCGTCCTCGTTGTTGCCACGCCCCGTCCTGCAGCCCTCGCCACAAAAGTTTGAGATTATGGAGTGTGCGGACTTGCAAGATCACATCCTGAACATTATGCTGCGGTGCGCCAGGCGAGAGCCTTCAGCCAAGGCACGATGCATCGCACTTTCTCAGCTCGGGCAGTGGCTGCTAATGCGCCTATCTCAACCCTTGCCGGCTTCGAATGCTGGAAGAACTAACCTCTTTCAGCAGGCGGTGCCCCATCACAAGGATGTGCATCCTAAGGAGACTCGAGTCTACAATCCGCGCATAAAGGAGGTGTTACAAGTACTGCTACAGGCGTTGCAGTTTAAGCATCACACCATTGCCATCGTAGCTGTGGATTCATTAAAGTTGTGCGCCGAGCGTGGACGCCAACTGGCCGCTATTGAAAGAGTTCCCCAGATAATCATCACTGCCATTTGTAAAGCTTTGGAAATTCAAAACGTAACCAAGCCTAGGGATTCGGACAAAGTGGTGCTAACATCTCTAATGTTGTGCTTGGGCGAATTCTGCATGGCTATTCCGGCTCCTATAATGCTTGCGCCTCTCAACGAACAAGGTGATACGTTAGTGCTCCAGGTGCTCAGGGTACTTTTGCAAGTTGCCTCCGGTGCTCCTCGTCATGAGAGGGTGAAACTGACAGCCGATGATGACTTTGATATGCACATCGCACACGACGATCTTCAAGGCGATGGACGCCTGCCGGAAGCTACCTACCAGACCTCCGAGACCATCCAGAAGTGCATTACAGCCATTAAGCTGTGTGCCAAAGCAGTGTCCATGCATTTGGTCACCCACATCGGTCACTTTCCGATGGGAATTGGAGCATCTCGCTTGAGTTCCATGGTCGAAGAGCAGGATGACATTGGTAATGCTGCCTATGGAGGTCAGGTGGAGACGAGACGCGATTCTGTGGAACTGCCTTCTGTTGTAAGTGCCCAAAATATGCAGCTTTTCATGCTGAACTCTGGTCTGGTGGCCAGTTTTATTGAGCTGCCTACACTGAAACTTCCCGGTGGAGGGATAACTGCTGGCTTGGTTACAGCCGATAAGCAAGTTAGGGTCCTAATGCGGGATCTTAATGGCAAAGCCTGCTGGGACGCTTCTATCTTGTATTCAGAGCCGAGGAAAGCGGAGGAGCCTCCACCAAAAACCACACCAAAGATTCAACACACCCAACCGTTGGATTCCATGGCGTCCTCCATGGTAACACATGAGCTGCAAGCTCCTCGACACACTTTACGACACCGTCCGGCAGGGGTGTTGCCATTGGCCAAGGACATGGCACCGGATCTGGATCAATTGGACGATATGTTGGCCTATATTGGTCATACCAGTCCAGAATGTGTGGCTCCCACTGTGAGCCAGCTGAATGCTCCAACAAGCAGTCCTCTGAGTGGAAACCAAGAAGCTCAGGCCATTTCGGTAATTCTGAATCAACGCCTTTTGGAGCAGGAATTCGTGACCCACTCGACTCAGGCTCCATCTCCGGCATTGCGACATGCCAGCTCGAACTCCTCACTGCAGCAACCGGATCAGAGGTCACTGCACTCGGCAACAGCATCCTTTGATTCGCTGCCTACCCGCACAGAGATGCCGTTCCAATACTGCCGGCTGCTCTTTTCACATTTAGGACTAGCAGGCTGGGAACGGCGATCTAGAACGCACTTGCTTCAGAGGAGCGAGAAACTGATGAGAGAACTGCGAAACGTTGATCTCCAAAAATGCCGCGAAACCCACAAAATGGCGGTTATTTACGTGGCCGCCGGGCAGGAAGATAAGGGCAGCATCCTTAGGAATACGAGTGGAAGCAGCACCTACGAGATGTTTGTTTCTGCCTTGGGTTGGGAAATCGATTTGGAGACGCACAACGGCTTCCTGGGCGGATTACCTCGTCAAGGATGCGGAGCTACAGCTCCCTATTACGCTACCCCCTTTCTGGAGGTGGTTTACCATGTGGCCACCAGAATGCCCTCGGACTCTTCGGAGGCCATGCTGCTGAAGACGCGCCATCTCGGCAACGACGAGGTTCACATTGTATGGAGCGAGCACCATCGGGATTACAGACGGGACATTTTGCCCACTGAGTTTTGCGATGTTCTGATTGTGGTATATCCGCTGAGGAATGGTTTGTTCCGTGTGACGGTGAACAGAAAGCCTGAAGTGCCATGGTTTGGTCCATTAGCCAATGAGAGCGTGGTAAGTGGCGCCTGCTTGGCCACTCTAATCCGGGCAACCGCAATCAATGCCAGTCGAACGAAACGCGCCGCACTGCCGCTCTACCAACAATTGTAAGTAGATTGTATGTGTTATTTTATTGGGGTCTAAGCGACTTTTATATTCTTTTCTGCAGCTACGAGGAGCGCAACCGGTCGTTGGACAGCGTATCATCTCGGTACAAGGAGAGCACCACCTTCGAGGACTTCGCCAGCCGCATCTACAATCCCATGCCACTGTCTACGCTGGGCACTCTTAGGGAATCCAATGCTAGCAGTTCGGCAGCTCCTCTGGCTTCTGCATTGCTGGATCACAATCGTGCCTCCGTTAAAGGTAAGCTCAGTTGGTGGACTGTGGAAAGCAGTGATAACATATCTATTCTTGTAGGTTGGGTACAAGCCTCGATTGATTCAGGCCCCATAATGGGAATTGCGCCATCGGCTTCCGCTGGATCCACCGCGGCCATGGAGGCAGCCACCGGAATGACATCCGCTTCACCGCGTGGCCCTCGAAAACTGGGGGCTCCCTTCAAGAGCGTGACTAAGAAGCATTCCCTGCAGCATATCGCCGTCGGAGGCGGCGCAGGAGCAGGCGGGGACACGCCGCCCGAGAGCCCAACTTTGCCGCAGCGACGCTTTAAATAATACGTGTCCCTTTCCTCCGATTCCCGGTACTACCTGCACCCATTCCCTTCCCCACCAATCGGGCCGTGGGCCAAGCCAGGCCCGAAAAGATGCAGAGAGTTCTAATGCAAACGAAAAGTATTGCGAAACACGTTTCCTCCTATATTAGTTGTTGTAATTTATATCGGTTTCCAACTTAGTCTATCAGTGTATTTAACTATTTATTTCTACTAATTCCAGTCGAAGGCTTCTCTCTACTATTATCCACTCTCTTTTTAATTTCCTATATAACACTGTGTTGTAATGCTTTGCGAATTTTACCTAGTTACTATGATTTCATTTTACGTATTTATTTATAAGTTCGCTCGCCTGCGATGCGGCTGTATTTTGCGTCCACTCAAACACTAATTTGAAATTATGTTATCTATGCAATCAATTATGTTAATTCATTCGATGTATTGTAAGATTTTTTAGTTAATGAGCTTTAAGCATTCGAGTGCAAATGATTATCAGCTAGCTGAACAATTGCTTTTATCGCATTTACTCAGTTTTAATCACTGCTGCGCTGTTTATCCAAAGCAATCTGTTATTCAATATTATAAATATATTTCTTTCTTTTATGTCACATTTTACGCTTGGCAACAAGACGCAAATTCAAAGAATTCGAAAATCGTTTTATGTGTCACGCACAAAATGCAAGAATAATCAAAAATCGAACATAGAAACTTGCTCTGCCCATTTAAAGCAACACATCAACTACTAGTATTATGTAATCGAGCTAAATGTATAGGTAGCCTAGTTATAAGCATTCTCTACTATTCAAAACCCTATCAACTGTCGATGGCAATCGTCACTAGGAGTGTGAGTCTTAGAAAGGAAAACAAAACAACAGAGTAACTAAAATTGTTCAAACAATCGCCTTTTATTTGTGTGTAAAAATGAAATTGTTAGAAGATGATTTATTAACCAGTATAGGGATGTTCTTCATTTGTATTTCACTGCGAATTGTTTCAACGAATTGATCAAATTGATAGATTTATATTTATATATATTTACATCGAGATATGTTAATTTTGTATTTATGTAAAACGGGCAACCTAAAGTTAATTGCAATGCCTTTTTGTTGCACAAATGTTTTATGAAATCTGTAGTCTAATTAACACAATTACCTTTAGGCGAGTAAACATTTTTGTATAAAAAAAAAACAAACAAACAAAAACCAATAAATTGAAAAGCAAATTAATGCTATGTGAAATTTGTAACTAACACCAAGTAACGCATTATATACAACATACATTTACAACTACGATTTAATATGTATATTAATTTACTAATTTATTTGAGAAACAATCGAGTATTTTTCGTACAATAAATAACGTGAATTTCAAAGAGTTGAGATCCTGCTGCGAACGAATATTCCCCTTTCCCTCTTTGCCAGATGTTGTTAACGTTTGGTAGTAATTAGCTGGACACGCAATCGCTCTACTGACACTCATTTCGAGTCTCCCAGGTGGCCCAGACTTATGGGCCCGGCCGCGAGAGGTCATTGCCTTGACTCCTGTTTTTGGTAGTTCCTTTTTTAGGGGTGATTCGCACCCGCCCGACCCCCGAAGTGGACAGACAAGTCGGCTGGCTGCCAGGGATCAGAGATGGCGAATGTCTAGGCGTTTACATAGCTACGTAATCTAATTTAATTTAATGCGCTACAAACTATCGGTAAAGTATTTAAGCATGAATGTTACTGATTTAAAAAATGTAAGCTTTATACAAAGTACACTTTGTATTTGTAATACAAGGCTACAGATTACGCGGTACATTGTTCTACTGCGTTTGCAATCATTTTTTCTTTAATATACATCCCCCAAGGATAGCCACCACTGGCAGGGATCTGAAAACGCTCTATGCTGTTTGCATGGCGCCGGAACCACCACTATCAAGTGACGCCATAGCATTTGAATTTTCCCCGGAGCAGCGCAAATACCCCAAATGGCCCATAGCCGCTTGGCGTGCGCACAGTTATCGTCGAGCGGTCGTGTCGTCTGAACGTCTCCAGTTGTGGCTTTTCTTTTCCAGCGGGTCGCAGACATCAAGTTAGTGCCAAGTCTTGCCCGAGCTGAGCAATTCGAGTTCAATAATGCGCACTCAAGTGCTAAGTTTTTGTTTAGCCATTTTGCTAATTGTTTGTCTGTTGTAAACAAAAGACGAAATTAGATGCGGGGACCAAGTGCCGTGGATCAGAGATGGGGAGCCGACCGCAGAGGATACGTCGGATTGGCGACAGCCTGCAGATGCTAACCCGGGAAGCCAGGAGCGAAGTGGTGCGCTGCGAACGTAAGTGGTTTTTCCAAAAATGCGCATACGCCATTTGGAACATGATTCAATCATCTAAGATAATGTGCTGAATTCACTGTAAATGTTACCGCGCTTAAACTACAAAATTTGTTATATACACTTCACTAGATAATTTGGTTAGAAAATGATTGATCACCACTATAACTCAACTGGAACCTTGTAACTCTGTAATATATTCATGTACGTCCCACTATCTGCTGGAGATTTGCATAAGGGGACGACGTCATCGCCAGTTTCAACATGGGAGCAAGGAATGATTTGCTTGTTTATCTGTCGGTGGCGAAGACCTTATTATGACATGTGTGGAAATGGATTGAATAGAAATCGTCAGGGCTAGAAATGTTTATCGCCTGCGAAAGCCATTCCAAACCAGGGGAAATACATAGTTGTTATGGTTTTTATTGGGCGCAACGCAGTCTATAAATAAGTTTCTTGGGTGGCAATTGTTTAGTTCGTATTAGCCAAGGTAATAGAAGGTGTTCTTTATGGTTTCCAAATAGGCTTGAAGCGCGATTACGCAAATTATAGATTCGCTGTTACGAACTCTAATATTTGTTGCTTAATACGAATTTATGATACCTATCATGTCATTCAAATCATCATTTTTTAGAAATAAAAAAGGGTTAATAGACTTGTATTTGCGATAAGACCCTGAAAACTAGAACGGCTCCCAAGTGCCGAGCGTTGTTGTTAGATGGAGTTTTGCGTTTAGCATAAGGAACCAGAAAAAAACTAGATGCCTGCCAGGCACGCGATTTGGAGCACTCACATCGACAAGTCCTTCGAAGGCCGTTTGGCCGCTAATTAAGTTCACCTTGGACGTGAAAAAGCGGCGTGTTCTTTCAAGGTCATCGGCGATAATTGCGGCCATGGCAACTGCCCAAAAGCCGAAACAATGGACTTGGAAATAGCACAGGATATTTGTATTTCTATGAATATCGGATTAATGCTCGGTTCTGATTGGGGAGCACAATAATGGAAGACATAAATCGAACTGCGCTTTTGTTTATTTATAAAAATGTATAAATAAACATGATAGGAATAATGAATTTTGCAAATAGCAGGGAAGCATTTGAGGAACTAGCTTTAAAATAAATCTGAGAAAATATAACATGGAAAGGAGTTAAGTAAATGGCAGTAAACCAATTTGTTTTGAATTGTAAACTACGCTGTAAAGTCATTCTCAAAACCCAAATTCGCACCAAACAGAATGTAAAAATAAGACAATGATTTCCCATCCCACGCACGCCGTTGGCTATGAACAAAACAAAAAAACAAGAAAACAGTCAACAACACGAAAGAACCAAATCAAAACAAAGGCCCAAACGAAAACATAGCTGAGCAACCAGTTGCAGATTTTCGAAATCAAAACAAAACCGAAGAAGCTCGCTCTTGAGAGCCCCCTAAAAAACAGAAAAAAATAATAATATAGCGGGCTAGAGCTGTAGATATATCTCTTAGAAGAGCGAATGAGAGCGAGAGAAAGACGAAATCGCTGGAGAATTATGGACTGCCATATAGTCGCCTCAGTGTCTGAACGACAGTCATGAAAGTCGGACGGATTGAGAGCGAATAGAACGCAGAATTTGGAAGCCGTTCGGTGCGGTTTATATTTTTTGGATGCGTGGATTAATTTCGGGTTGGGCACTTAACAAGGCCATCGCTTTTTAGGCAAATCAGTGATAGCAGTGTAAATAGCTGAAACTAATGTTCAATCGGGAGGAAGGCGCCCTCTTTCGTTTCCCAAACCTTGACCTTGGTTCGACAGTTCAGACGGATGTCACTTTTCCCAAACCAAAAACACCCATTCCGAACGACTTTAAGCCACTGAAATGCACATTTGTTTGAGCGCGGGCACCGAAAGGTGTTAATTTCGGTTCGTTACGTATACGTAATGTGACAGGAAAATAGAAATGGAAATTGAAAGCCCGAACAACTGCTGTGCGCGGCAAATGTAAATTGATAGCCAAAGTGTTTGAAATACAATTCTAAATTCGCTTGGGCACCTTTCCTATATACAAACAAATACACCCGCACACTTTCGGTAATTTCAAATCAATTAATCTCAATTATTTCGATCGCTCAAGTGAACAGAATCGATGCAAAATTCGAAAAGTCTCCGCGCTACATTAAGTTTGCTCAAAAGCGGAAGCTAAATTCTTAATCGCATTGTTTTATTATATTTCTTATAAGCTTCTGTGCGCTGTTTTGTAATTCCCTCTTTTTACAAAATGAATTATTTCCCTCATGGCCTGTAAAAACCACATAAGTGAAGAGAAAACGATAAAGATATATCAAAATATATTTTGTTTGTGACTAAAATTAAATATAACAACGAAAGTAATGCAAGATTCGGGCAAATTGAAAGATTATTTTTCCTTATAAATGCGCTAATCTTGATTTCCGTCAGTCACGAAAAATATTTCCAAAAAACCCAAAAAAATAGCTAAACAGATGTAAGGCAAAAACTATTATTGGAAATTTTGTGTATAAATACAAAAAAAATGTGTTGAATACGTTTCGGATGTGATAAAATTAAAAAAAAAAAAAAAAACAATTGCAGCAATTTTAAGCAAAATGGAGCTGATTAAAAAATACAAACAGGGGAAGCTGGCCACCAGTGATATTCGTCATATAAATCGTACGTTAATATGTAAACTATATTAATAATTTAAGTATGCTTATTGTTTTTAGAATATTACTGAGGGCAGCCCTTGGTGCTTAAAATACATTTTTGTGGTCGGCCTTCGGAGGGCTGAACTAAAAACCAAAACAAGACCCATAAAAACACTTAGAAATTCGAATGTCGTGCTGTGGAAAGCCAATTGGTTAAATTTGAGGTGAACTGTCTGCTGCCATTGACAGCAAATGTTCAAGTCAATTAAAGCCATTTCACAGTTTTGTCCATCAGTCATGGAAGCTGCTTTTTGGGGGCGCGTCTTTCAGCATCAATAAACCGATTGGGTATATGTATTCGAATGTTTTGAAAATTGGCAGAGAGCGACCCAATAAATAATTCGATATACGTGAATACACAGTGGGAATTCGGCTTGTCAACTTGTATATAAATTTATTATGTTTTTTCAATTCATCGGACATAGACTAAAGCTGTTGTAATGTTAGTCCTAGATGAAAAACAAGGCCTGCCACCATTTTCAATTCATAGCTAAATGTGCCAATTTTATAAAAATTCAATAGCGTCAATCAACTCATTAAAGGTGCTAAATTGGCCAACAGCGCTAATATAAACTTTGTTGTGTTTGCTTATAAACATTTTCACACTTCTCTTGCTGGGTCTACCGATCTTCTTCCTATATCTGTATATAGTTCATTTGATGCAGCTCTCATCTGTCCATAAGTGGTGGAAAGTTTATTTGAGTGGGCGTAGTTCATAGTACGTATACGCCATGTGGCTCCTGTTAATGGCATTAACAAATTGGCCAAAGTGCCAAACTTCCGGGCGCTGTCGTTTGTAAACAAACACTTAGTCAATGGCGTTAGGAAAATAGCTGCTTAAAATGCTAATTTTAATAAGATTTGTAACATTTTGTAGCTTTTTTGTGTAGACTAATGTTGGTGGCGATTACATTTATAAGCGATTAGTAATATTTATTTATAGTTTTCTCCGTGAGGTTTCGCCTCTTTTGGGCCATATTCAATAACGAAACCTGGCCAAAAGCGATTGAGCTAACGACATAACAACACTGCTGAATACTATTTATCCATGTTCCGCAGATGAGAGCGGATTCATGATGGAAATGATGTCATTCCGTTGGTGCCACTTTTCGACGGATCGTGCAACGCGCAGTAAATCGCTTCATATATATATATGTATACAAAGTCGGTGGCCGGCCAAAAAGCAAAAAACATTCCGCTTAATGCGTTCAAAGCACTTGAGGCATGAAATCTGCGGTAGCATCTCGTGATCTATTCCCTCTATAGATGGGCGAACTTGTAAAATACAGCCGTCCATTATGAACCATCAAATGGAATGGTAATATAATATTTCCCCTGTTTTGACATGTTCCGCCATGGGGCTTTTATTATGCACACCGAGCATAATCGTATATTTATCCACGAATCTGTTTGTTGACTCTGTCAGCGAACTGTTTTCTCTTTATTTCGAGCAATATGCGGGAATATTTGCATCAATTGAAATGAATTTTATTGGGAGGCAGTCACGGTATCGACGTCATCTGAAAATTTTTCGCCCCGACTCGTTAACCGAGCTCTATAACATTTGGCATGATATCATACCGCCGATAGAAACTCACACAAAAGCGTTAATATACGAAGACCAGTTCACAGTTAGCGGTTTCTTACACAAAACAAATATACTCAACAAACCCAGGCGGAATATAACTAGAAAGCCATAAATTATCGAATGGCTAACCTTCAAGCACTGGTGTTTTCCATTCTCAAAATTTCGAAATCCATTGTTCGCAACAGTGCGTATACTTGATCTATGGCTCCATAAATAGTTGATTTTCCGAATGCAGCCATGTCTATGTGCGAACCATTAATTTCAAATTCAAATTTGTCAGCGGTTCGTTTGATAGAACAACATGTTTGCCAAAGCGTGCCAGAGGTTACAAGTATGATTTCATTGTTGTTTTTCATTTTGTGTGTCATATTTAGCATGGGAAATCTAAATTCAAAAAATGAGTAACAAATGGAGAGTCAGTCGCCTGGCTTTTGAATTTGCGTCCAGCTTAATTCTGCAAAGCATATTTTAATGATTATTAAACATTTCAAGGTTGTAAAAAAATAAGAAAAATTTTTATAATTTTTACTAATTTCACTAAAAACTTTTCTCTTTCTTTCAGATATGGTAATATATCTCATGGTCCTGATAGCAGTATTCTCCATTCTATGGAACATATCGCTGAGCATGATATCGGGGGATCTGTACGAGGGAATAGTCAGTGCCAAACTTATCTTCACGGAGCGCAGCCTTGATAAAATGGATGAGCCAAGCAAGGAGATCCTTCATCAGGATTTCATCAAGGCCACCCAGTATGCCTATGGGAGGCAGTATTCCGTGCAGGATGTCACGCCCGAACCGCCGAAAAGCGAGAGCCGTAAGATAGCCTACAATGTACTTGTACCTCAAAATCAATTCCAACTCTTTTTTATTAGAAATCTATAAGTTACCGCATATCTATGAATCAATGGAGAATCGACCGAAATTGGAGCGTCTGATTGCCGAAAAGAAAATGGAGGTAATTTCTAGCTCAACGACTCCACCGCCGAAGATTACATTTAATGCTGAGGCAGATCGTCACTTTTTGAGCACAAGTAAGAGTAAAGCAGCACATTAGCATTATTTTGTTTTAATCAATTTTCTTTTACTGAAGTGTCCATCGATGTGAGGGCCACACTTTGGAATCGAGGCTCCGGAGCTCAGTTTGTCTATATGTTTCCCCTCATATCAGAGATCGTGGCCATTATCTGGACAGCCATGTGTTTGATTTATCAGACAGGCAGCAAAAAGAGCTCGTGAGTATATAGGCTTCAAGCAGGTAGTTCAAGCTCATAATGCTCAAACCCACTCATATTTTTCAGCGTTCTGCCGAAGCCGTGGCGCATTGTGGTGCCCTCCATCGTAATCTTCTCGGTGATGAGCTTGGGCAGCGTAATCTACACGATCCTGACCAACGGCTATCTTAAGCGCCTGTGTGGCCAACTGAGGGAGAATCTCACAGATCCCACTGCCATCACCTGCGGCGATGCCATCGCACTGCTGCGTCCCATCATCCACGACCACAACGTATCCCACGATACATATCTGGAGCTCTTCCGCTGCAGCTACGTGATCAGCATGGTACTGTGGATTGTGGCCCTCCTGGTCATGGTGCTGCGATATGTATTTGCCGTGGACTTTCAGCTGGTGGACATCGATGATATGTTCGATAGCGGTCGAAATGATGTTCCCCAAGTACAGATTCAACCGGTGTACACTGAAGTAGTGCAGCAGAGCAGTCCGCAGCACCAGTCGCAGATGCGTCCGAGATCGGAGGACGACTACCATAGTGCCAGGTCGCGTTTGAGCGATCTTGCAGTGCCACTGCTGGAGGGGCAGAGCCAGTCGCAGGTTCCGCCAACAAGTGTGGCCTAATCCTGCGGCTAGCCAGCAGATCAGCAATCTCAGGTTTACTTTTATACGTTGTGTTAGTGTTTAGTATATAACTAAGGAATATTTTATCAACTAACCCAATATAGGTTAAGCTTTAGAGGTGCCTCTGGTCGAGAGTACTTGATCAATCGATATTTCATTGATATTTTTCAACTTGCTAGCGTAGTGAACTCGTGCCTCGATATCAAATATCAAAAATGTGGTTTAATTGGGGCTACTATAACTTATGTGGTTATGCAACTCAAAGCTAGCATACTCTTGGGCTGATGAATTCAATCTGAGCTTGAGATGCCTTGGTAAGCCACATTGTTCATTTGATTCCTTCGACTTAACCTCTGGTAACTGAAATCCATGAGTTTTATTTAAAATGCAACACAAAACCGAAAACAAGTGCGAATAAAATACAAATATTGCGTATACGAGATAGGAGACTCTTCAAGTTCCAGCTTAAAGCAGTTTCATGGTGATGGTCTTCGTTTCCAGGTAGTTATCCAGTCCATCCTTGCCCAGTTCCCTGCCAATGCCCGAGTGCTTGTATCCGCCGAATGGAGTGGAGGGCAGCACGGCATCATAGCAGTTGATCCACACGGAGCCGGCATCCACATTGTTGGCGAACTTCAGGGCCTTGTTGATGTCATTGGTAATGACGCCGGCGGCGAGACCATATTGCACATTGTTGGCCCGATCGATCATCTCCTCCAGGGAGCTGAACTTGAAGATCGACTGGACGGGGCCAAAGATCTCCTCCTGGGCAATCCGCATATCATCCTTCACGTCCGAGAAGACAGTGGGTTCTACGAAGAAACCGACGTTGCCGATCCTCTTGCCACCAGCCTGCAACTTGGCGCCCTCCTTCTTGCCACTCTCGATGTAGCCCAACACCTTGGTCAGCATGTCATCGTCGATCTGGGGACCCTGCTGCACATTCTCCTCGAAGGGATTGCCCACCTTGCGTGCCTTCGCCTTGGCAGCTGCCTTGGCCACGAACTCGTCGTAGATCTTCTCGTGCACGTAGGTGCGACTGCCGGCACAGCAGCTCTGGCCGTGATTCGAGAACAGCGCCTCGTGGGTGGTTTCCACGGCGAAGTCAACTAATGGGGAAAGCAGGAATTAGGTTTAGGACTTGGTTTCAAGAAGATGAGCCACTTACTGTCCGCATCATCGAAGACCACAACGGGACTCTTGCCGCCCAACTCCAAGGAGACTCTCTTCAAGTTCGACGTGGCTGCAGCCTGCATGACAATCCGTCCTATGTCCACGGAGCCGGTGAAAGCCACCTTGGCAATATCAGGATGCTCACTGATAGCGGCTCCAGCAGTGGGACCAAATCCGTTGACCACATTGATCACACCGGCTGGGAAGCCCGCCTCCTTCGCCAAAGCAGCCATGTGAAGGGCAGTCAGAGGAGTCTGCTCCGCGGGTTTCATGATGATGGTGCATCCGACCGCCAGGGCAGGACCCCACTTCCAGGCCAGCATCAGCAGGGGATAGTTCCAGGGGATGATCTGGCCCACCACGCCCACCGGCTCCTTGCGGGTCATGGAGACAAAGCCCCCAGCGGGAATGGTGTCGCCGAAGAACTTGTCGGTCCAGCCGGCGTAGTATTGCAGCGTCAAGATCGAGTAGGTCACATCAAAGAGGGCCTCGGCGTACGGCTTTCCATTGTCCTGGGTCTCCAAGCTGGCCAGGAAGGCCTTGTCCCGATCCATCAGGGCACAGAGTCTGAAGGAAAATACTATTTAACTTATTCCACGTGGGACGCAGGGGTAAAACTCACTTGTTCATCAGATTGGTGCGCTGCAGAGGACTCAACTTGCGCCATTCCGAGTCGCGATGGAAGGCTTTCTTGGCCGCTTTCACAGCCAGGTCGATGTCAGCCTAACAAAATTATAGAAATAATCAGCAGGTTTATTGTTATGACCATTTCGCCAGCCTATCACTTTCGAGAATGCTGGACTCACCTTATCTCCCTCGGAGACCTTTACAATCTCCTTGGACGTAGCCGGATTGAAAGTGGCAAAGGTCTTGCCCGACACCGAATCAACGAACTCATTGTTGATGAAAAGCTATAAGTAAATGAATTAAGGGTGTTGGAACTTAGTATAAAGCCAGTGGATGCAATGGAATCTTCCCCCACCTGACAGTGATTGGGTTCGCACTGGTCATAAGTATGCTCAAATTTCATACACATTCGTGTGCCAGCCAATTGGTGTGCCAGTAATTTTTGCAATTTGTTCATTGTTACTAGCCCAGTTTGTCAGCAATTACTTATCCGCTCAAACAAGTTATCAACCCTCCGATTGGCCCATTTCAATTTGCCGGCGACACGCGATAATGTAAACACTGTAAAGTGTAATTCCAGTCACGATTCCAAATTGTCGAGTTTGTAAAAAAGCAAAACAGTTGACAATAAACTAAAGTCGTTTGAGGCTGTTAACCGGTGTTGTTTTGAATTACAATTGTTCGTTGGCGATAAGAACGCATAAGTCCACCGTTCTTAAACTTTCAAGATAAAGTCGTCCGCTAATTGCAATCAATTCATTATCAGGGCATTATGAGCCGTTTTTACTTTAAGAAGAAAGTTTACTAGTTGCTGTACTTAAATTTTAAAACCCCAATTAATATTGGAAAGGCAATTGGTTTAGTTTTCCTAATTTTAAATTTCTCATTATTTCGCCATTGAAAAATGTATCGCCCTATAAGATTGTCTCATCCGTATCAGAAAAGGGGCAAGTCTCCTACGAATCTTTCCTTATCAGCATAGAAAACTTCTTACTTATTATTGCTTATTTTTACTGCATCTGTTTATTCTTGGTACCACATCTGTTGATAACAGTTTAAGCTCCCTATATCTATGAGCAAGCCGATTGCTGTTTTTTGAAAAATATTTGTATGCCAAGTATAAGGAGGCCAAAATCGCGAGTATTTGTACATGCATAAATTGCGACACAAACGAGTTTGGTGTGGGCTGAGTTTAAGTAGGCAACTAACTTTAAATCATTTAACTTGTATTATGTGAAGTGCAAGTTTAATGCACTTAGCGCAAGTGCAAGCAATAGGGTCTTGCATTATTTAATAGACAGCTGTCCACAGTATTTATACTCACTTTTGTGTACTTCGGCTTGGCGTTGGGATCGGCCATATTGAGCTCTATATACCTGCACTTTTAAGAACTGGAATATAAACCGGCTGTCTGGGAGACGTCGCGAAACTGAAACTGAAAAGCTGCCAGATGCCGATTTATATAGAGCCCGATAACTCGCTATCAGCGATTCGTTTCGCTCTGGCGTTCATCACATACTCTTTGCTTGTGGTCGTCCTCTGAATTATCTTATGCCGGCCGGCTGCGAGAATACAAGCAAAAGATTTTATATACGAGTGCCCTACAATTTATAGAAAGTGTCCATCGATTTTGTAGTTCATATGGCTAAAGAACTAGCTGTACTGCAATTGTTCATGCTCATACCAACATGTTACACTGTTAAAAATATACATTTTATTTTTGCCATAGTTCGGGATATTGATTTATCACAAACAATTGTTTAAAACATTTGGTTGCAATTTGACCACCGAAAGCTTTTTGTTGTGGTTGGTGTCTTGGATAGATGTCTTATACGGCTTGTGTCTAGGATGTGGTCTTATACGTGAACAATATTCTTTAGCACCCAACAACAATAATTAGATCAACGGGAAATATTAGACTTTTGAAATTCCTTCATTAAATATATTTAACATAGCTTAAGACTATTTATTTGCTAATGTGTTCAGACACTTGTTGTCTGGATAAGCTGTTTGCCATTGTAGTTTTTGATGGGAAAACTTTCGTATTTGTAGGTGCGTTGAACCAGTCCATGATCCAGAAATTTCAGTTTGCTCAGCGACTGCGCAATGTAGTTGCTGAAACAGACCGGCAGCTAAGTATAGATAGATCAATATTGTAACAAACCCACCTGTAGTACTCGTAGTCGTAGCGCAGGTAACTGGAGAATGGCTGCAGTTCCAAGCCATCCGGGCAGATCGGATTGCCATGGAGGCTCAAATACTGCAGATTGGGAAAGAACTTTCTGATCAGGCGCATTGTCGTCGGCAGGTCACTGAACTGGAATCGATAAGAAATCTCAGAGTTTGGCAAGCAATTCTAATATACAGTAATTGCACTGGGATTCTGTGTTTTCACCTCATTTTTGTTGAGCATCAGTACTTCCAATTGCGGCAGTGGGCATGTCAATGTCCTCAAATGAGCCTCATGCATTCGATTGCTGTCCAGGACCAAATGGCGCAGCTGCTCAAAGTCCGCCAACCAAGACAGATCCTTCAGACAATTGTGGCTTAGATCCAGCTGCTCTACATGATCAGCATGGCTCTTAACTAATTCCTGAGGCAGTGTTCGTAAATTCTGTTGCACCACAATGAGCTAAACGGGTAGACAAAATAAATGAGATACGATTTTTAATCTTGGCTAGATAAGCTTGAATTTCCTACTTGGCTGTCGTTATTTGGTGGCTCTTGCATTGCTCTGAGATAAATCGTATATGTGGTTGGCGAGAGCGTTACTGTATCTTTCGGATACCTCACCGGCGATCTCCTCGTGAGCAACTGAAATGAGTGCTCGATTGTGCTGCGGTCGTAGCCGAATGCTTTTGTTTTTAGGCTGTCTCTTTTAAATTTTTTACATACCCTACATAGATGATTTTTCTTGGGAATTTGCGTTTATATGTGAATTTTGTGGATATTATGAATTATAAATTAAGGGAGTTATAAGGGATAAGCAAAGCTCCTTAGAAGATAATCAACGGAATGCAGATAATACATATTTGTTGTTAGGCTATATTCAATGATTATGTACTTGGAATCAACAAACTAAAATTTTGAATCTGTGAAGTATTATTAAGTTGAAACCCTTGACTACAGTACCCTACTCCATATGCTCTTTGTTTGCGTTTAACTTTGTTTGGCTTCTGTGAAGCTTTTTTCCACGTCTGCCGATTTCTTTCATCGCTTGTTCAAGGCGAGAAAGAAAGAAAGGCGCTAGTGATAAGTTATCAAGTTAAATGACAAGTAGATGGCGCCAGCGGGCGACTATGATTGCACATCGAGTATAGGACAAGTGGGCTTAAATACGAGACCACGTT